CATCATTATGTTATGTTGTATTAGCCTCTTGACAAACAGTAGAGTTTTCCCATTAATATCCAATTATACAAAATACTGCTCTGAGGGCCGGACATTTGATAACTGTTGTGTGTGAGGGCAAAGTGCTTGCTCAAGCCTGAAGACCTGACTGAGCCCCAGCCAGCACCCACATAAAAAGCCAGGCGTGGTGGAACACTTTTATGCCGGCACTGGAAAAGCAGAGATAGGTGGGTCCCTGGGACTCCCCGGCTGGCCAGCATAGACTAACCAAGTCTCACACCAGTGAGAAACCTTGTGTCAAAAACCAAGGCAGGAGTCTGGGGAGGTGGCTCGGTGGTAGAGATCTCTTCAGACCTGCAGAGGACCTGGGTTCGAGGTTCCCAGCTCCCAAGTGTCAGTTCACAAACATCTGTAATTCAAGTGGCAGGAGATATAATGTCCTCTTCTGACTTTCAAGAGCTTCTACACTTGAGGAGTGCTCACTCGGGCACACACACATAAGACAAAAGACAAGATGGACAGCTCCTGAGGAAGGACACCCTAGAACCTAGGTTAACCAGTGGCTCTCACATGCATGTGCTTACACACGCACCTGCACAAACACATACAGCGTCATGTATGCACACATAAGCACATCTGACACTCTCTTATTATACATAACACAATGACCCTATCAGTCTTCCACCAGTATCAACCCTGACCTGAGTCTGCGCTGTCAGGGAGGTTGTGAAGAATGCCTTCTGAACCCACTAGCTGGTAATGCATCAACCTCACCAACAGCAGATGGTCAAGCATGGCCACCAAAAGCCAGGTCAACCGAAACCTGTGAATATGGACTTATATCAAAAGGAATTTTTTTTAGATTGACTTTTATATTTTATGAATACATGTGTATGCCCATGTGTGTGTGTGTGTATGCACCACGTGCCTGCAGGTACCTTCAGAGGCCAGAAGGCAGCATCATTTCTCTTGTAACTGGAGTTACAAACAAGTGTTAGCCAACCTAAAAGGGTACTGCAAAGTTCAAAGGCAGCCTGGGCTACACAGCAAGTTCTGGGATAGCCAAGCTTGGTCAGTGAAGGAAACCATGGAAAACAAAAAGCTGGCAAAACCTATTTGAACTAGGGGGCCAATGTCCTGCCCCAGCAAACGGTAGAACTTGGCAGCTTTTGGTCAAGTGGTTCTGGCTTCAGAGTCAAGGACACAAGAAAAAGGTTATGGAATCTCCCTCCACAACTAAGGACAGCGACTGAGGCCAGGAATATGTCAGGGGTGTCCCTGAATGGAGGCCTAGAGAGGCCATTGTGTGAAGCGTTGAAAGGGAAGCCTGGATTACCATGGAGATCCCAAGATGCTGGAGATGACGGAATCGTGGGATACCTGCCGAGGAGAGCCACTAACGGAGTGGGACCAGCCCAAGAGAGAGCAATGTGCTGCGGTCAACAGAGCAGAATGAGCTGGAGATCTGAAGGGTGTTTGGACGTCAGACTTAGAGATTCAAGCTTGGAGTCTGCCCGCCTGCTTTTCAGTCTGGCCCCCTATCCTCCCTTTGGGAACGGTAATGCGTATCCTGTGCCACTCTATGGTGGAAGTATGTCATCTGCTTTTTTATTTTGTATTTATAGGTTACAGTCAAGAGATTGCCATGCGTCTCAGAAAGACTGAACTTTTAAACTAATTTGAGGTTATGGAGGCTTTCGAAGTTGAACTAAGTGCGTTTCTGCGTTGTGTTATTGTTACAAGCCCATGGAGACCAGGGAGAGGAATGTGTCAGTTTGAATGAGAATGGCCTCCATACACGCATATATTTGACAGCTCAGGGATGGCATCAGGGTGCATGGCCCTGTTGGAGGAAGTATGTCACTGGGCATGGGCTTTGTGATTTCAAATGCCCAAGCTGTTAGTCTCCAGGCATCTGCGCTGGCCCGTCCTCGGGGTTCTGACAGGACATGCCCTCAGCGGCAGTCACTAAGAGCACCACCTGTGCACATTAACCATGTTCCCTTTGGAAAGGGCCCTGCTCACCTCCTCTCTCTCTCTCTCTCTCTCTCTCTCTCTCTCTCTCTCTCTGTCTCCCTCTCCCTCCTTCTCTGCCTCTCTGTCTCTCCTAACCTTCTTTCTGCTTCTCTTTGCTCTTCTGCTGCTCGTGTCCCCAGAGGCCAGTCTCCCCCCTCCCCTCCCTTTTTTCCCATTCCCTTAATTAAAAACAAAAACAACAACAACAAAAAAACAATAATACCCTCCACATGAGCTCTGTCATATGGCCCCTCTCTCTTGAGCTGGGCCCAGGGTCTCTCTCTCTCGTTGCCTGCAATTCAAGAAGTAGAACTCTTAGCTCCTTCCCCTATCTGCCTGCACACCAAATGTTCCAGCATGGTGACAATGGACCGAACCTCTGAACCTCTAAGCCAGCCCCAGTTAAATGCTTTGCTATATAAAAGTTGATGTTTGTGCTGGAGAGATGGCTTAGCGGTTAAGAGCACTGAATGCTCTTCCAGAAGACCTGAGTTCAATTCCCAGCAGCCACACAGCAGCTCACTCCAAGATCTGACACCTTCACACAAACATACATGTAGGCAAAGCACCAATGCATATAAAATTATAAAAAGAGAAAGAGAGAGAGTGTGTGTTGTCATGGTCTCTCTCTCCCCCCTCCTCCCCCTTCTCCCCCTCTCTCCCCCTCCCCCCTTCTCCCTGTCTCTCTCTGTCTCTCTCTGTCTCTCTGTCTTTCTCTGTCTCTCTCTGTCTTTGTCTCTCTATCTCTCTCTGTCTTTCTCTGTCTCTCTCTGTCTCTCTCTATCTCTCTCTGTCTCTCTCTGTGTCTGTCTCTCTCTCTGTCTGTGTCTCTCTGTCTCTGTCTCTCTGTGTCTCTCTGTCTCTCTGCCTCTCTCTGTCTCTCTCTGTCTCTGTCTCTCTCTCTGTCTCTGTTCTCTCTCTCTGTCTCTGTTCTCTCTCTCTGTCTCTCTGTCTCTCTCTCTGTCTCTCTGTCTCTCTGTCTCTCTCTCTCTGTCTCTGTCTCTCTCTCTGTCTCTCTGTCTCTCTGTGTGATGATGCAATCATGCATACTCATGTGGAAACCAGAGGTGGCAACAGCTGTCTTCTGTCACTCTCTCCTTTCTCTTTTTCCTCACATTTCCTCATTTATCCATTTGTGGGGGAGGGGCACATGTACTATGGCACTCCCACAGAGGCCAGAGGCCAGTGATAACGTCTGCTGTGGAGATAGAGGATTGAGAGGATGGCTGTCAAGAGTTACATGTGGAGGTCAGAGGGCAGCTTGTGGAGGAAGTCAGGTCTCTCCTTTTTACAAAGATTTTTATCATGCATGTGTGCTTGCAGGCCAGGAGGAGGCACCAGATCTCACTACAGATGGTTGTGAGCCAGCATGTGGGTGCTGGGAACTGAACTCAGGACCTCGGGAAGAGCAGTCACGTGCTCTTAACCGCTGAGTCATCTCTCCAGCCCTGCATTCTGTTATGTTAAATTTGTTTAACTCTGTGAAGCTGTGTTACTTTCCTGTCTAAAATACCTGACTGGTCTAATAAAGACATGAATGGCCACTAGCTAGGCAAGAGAGGGATGGGCAGGGCTGCCAGGCAGAGAGGGTAAACAGGGGGAGGAAAGGAGAAGGAAGAGGGAGGAGAGAAAAGGAGGAGAGGAAGATACCAGGAGTAGCCACCCAACCACACCACCAGCCACGGAGTAGGAAGGGAAGAAAGAGATAGAGGATAGAGAAAAGTAAAAGCCCAGAGGCAAAAAGTAGATGGGATAATTTAAGTTAAGAAGAGCTGGCTAGAAATAAACCAAGCTAAGGCCAGGCATTCATAAGTAAGAAAAAGTCTCTGTGTATTTATTTGGAAGCTGGGTGGCAAGCCTCCAAAGAGAAAAACAACTACAGATGTGGGGGGGAGGGGCAGCAGGGGTGGAGCAGCGGGAGTGGGGGTGGGGCAAGGGGGTGGGGCAAGGGGGTGGGGCAAGGGGATAGGGGGGCGGTGGGGGTGGGGGGGAGTGGGGCAGCGGGGTCTTTTTCCCTAATGTCAGTCTTTGAAATACACTTCCCCCTGGGGCTGGAGAGACTGCTCAGCAGTCAAAGCCCTGGCTGCTCTTCCAAAGAACTGGGTTCAGTTCCCGGCACCCATAGAGCAGCCCACAGCTGTCTGTAAACCCAGTCCAAGTGGATCTGGCATTCTCACACAGACACACATGCATGCAAAAACCAATGTACATTTTTTAAATCTTTTTTCTAAGGGAAAGCAAGAAAAATTGATATATTTCCCTCTGCAACCTCCGTGTCCTCAACTATGTCCCTCAGAATATAGCAAAGAAGGGCTATTTAAAGTGAAAAAGTGGCTGGAGAGACGGCTTGGTGGTCAAGGCCTCTTGTGGCTCCTGCAAAGGACAGCGTTTGATTCCTAGTGTCCACATTGCTGTAATTCCAGTGCCTGGGGTATTCGCTGCCTTCTTCTGGCCATTTGGGGCACTACAAACATGCACACAGACACATACAGGCAAAAAACACACACACACACACACACACACACACACAAACGAAATTTTTAAAAAATAAAGAGGTACAAAAGAATAGTAACACAGAATTTTTAAAAATGAAAATTTCCAAAATCACTTTATTGCTTTCTAAAGGGAAGTTGACTGATTCATAACTTAGATCAAAGCAAATGATTTTCTCTTTTTCGGTGCTGGGGACCAAACCCAGGGTCAGGGCAGGCACCCTGTCACTAAGCAGTGTCCCCAGCCCCCAGATTTAAGTGATTTCCAGGAGGCTGTCAAAGGCTTGATTCTTTTCATGTCCGGGTCCATTTCCGCCAGTGATGTCACCTGCGCCTCTTCTCTTCCATCGGATGTAGCTCACTTCCTTTTATGGCTGGTAATCCCCCTGAGTTAATGAAACCCTCACTGCAGTCAGCAAGGAGACCCAATTCCAGGATTCCTTAGAGACAGGCCAGGTGAGCCCCTAGGGCCAGTGTGACAATCCCAGGTCATTAAACGCGCTTTCTCTTCAAGTATGAGAGCTTCTCATCAGTCCCTTTTTTATGCCAATGGGAACCGTGGACTAGAACATATCAATTAAAAAAGAAGAATTAAGCAGGGCTTGGTGGTGCATGCCTTTAAACCCAACCCTTGGGAGACAGAGGCATGGAGGCCTCAGACTTGGCGGTCAGCCTGGTCCACAGAGGGAGTTCTAAGACAGCCAGAGGCATGTAAAGAAACACAGTCTCTCAGGAGCAGGAGGGGGAGAAGAAGAGAATTATTAGAGGCTTACAGAGAGAACAAGCTGGTAAAGTGCTGGGTCCTGCACAGCTTGGCCCTGGAAACTTGACCCAAGCAACAAGAGAAGGAAGACAGAACAAACACAGGGGAAAGCTGGGGTTGTGTGAGCTGTGCTCACTCTGGTGGAGTGCACCTTCTACGCACAACCCAGACTCTCAGTGTGTTCATTACAGTCAGCTTAGAAGGAGGCAGTAGCTAGGGTCAGCAGCAAGAGGTCTGTTGGGAGCAGGGTCAGGCTGTGGACATCTGGAGGAGGAAGCTGCCTTTGCCAGCGTTTTCATACACTGGTCAGTTGTTGATAAACACGCAGTACTTGTACAACTCCGCCAACACTCACACGCAGACCGGAGGAAGGCTGTGCCGTCCTCTGACCCTACTTTGGGGAAGGCTTTGCTGTCATCATGGCTCTGAGGATTTGATTATCAGACACAGCTGTGCCCAGGTGAGACAACACACATCCACTCAGGGCTTCATCCATTCCTTACGTGTTCACTCAAGGATTTCTCAGCTCTCCAAAATAAGGGCCTGCCATGCAAGCATTGGGGTCTGAGCCCCGCTCCTCAGCACTCATGGAAAGCTGGCTGCTGTGGCTGCTGCTGTGACCCAGTGGCCTGGGCACTAGCGGGATGTAAACAGCCAGCCTAGCCAAGGTGCAGCTTCAGTGAGAGACTATCTCAGAAAAAAAAAGGTGGAGAGCCAGGCATGGTGCCACACACCTTTAATTCCAGCACTAGGGAGGCAAAAACATATTGATCTCTTAGTCTGAGGCTAGCCTGGTCTATATAGCAAATTCCAGTCCACACAGAGCTACATGGTGAGATCCTGTCTGAAAAAATTAGATGAGGAGCAACTAAAGACACATTCAGAATGACCTCAGGCTTCCATACCCAAGCTCACATGTGTACACACCACACCCACCACACCCACATACACGTGTGCATATACCGCACACATACATACACACTCACGTGTGTACATATACCATACACACACACTTTTAAAAGAGATTAGGTTTAAATGATCAAATTTGGAAGGGTCTCATGGAAACAGAGGATGCAGAGCTGGCTGGTCTTAGCCCTCCCTCTGTGTGTGTGTGTGTGTGTGTGTGTGTGTGTGTGTGTGTGTGTGTGTAGCATGCAGGAGCACTAAGTCACATCCCAAGCCCTCTGACCTGCGACCTGATCCCTTGATATGGTCGGTTTAGAAATGATCACATGAAATGGTATTATCAGTTCATATGATCAAGCAGGATGCAATTCCACAGAAGCGTGCAGTGCCGTGTGGGCCATTCAACATGGCTGAGTGGACCTGCTCATGGCTATATAGGAGTCTGGGTCTGAAGGAAGAGCAAAATGGTTACCTGTCCTCTGCACTTTCATCAGCACAGGGCACAATTCTTGAGGTCCCCTGGGTGGGTGTGAGGAGTGAGGCCCCTGCTGCAAAGTGGGCCTGTAGACACCAGGGAGCACCCTGGTCTGGGTGAGAATCTAGGGCATGTGCACTCTCTCCTGAGGGCAAGTTAAAGAGACTTCCATGGAAAGTGCTTGAGATGTGGGATACAGAATGCCAAACGGTCTCTTGGTACATGTTGCAAGAATAGTGAAAATTAAATAAAAATTTAAAAGTTAAGAACAGTGAAAATTTTTAACAAGGAAAATGAAACCCTGGGAAATGATGGAACAAAGAGATGGGTCAGTGAGTGAGTCTAATCGCTCTCTGGTCCACCTTCATTGGCGTGAACCACATGTCAGACATCACGCTAGGAATAGATGTCAAAGTTGTGAGTGTGTACTGGCTGCTTTTGTGTGTCAACTTGACACAAGCCAGAGTCATCAGAGGAAGGAGCCACAGTAGAGTAAATGACTCAGAGAGATCCAGCTGTAAGGTGTTTTCTCATTTAGTTATCAGTGGGGGAGGGCACAGCCCATGCTGGATGGAGCCATCCCTGAACTATTGGTCCTGGGTTCTATAAGAAGGTGGGCTGGGGGTGCTGCTGAGCACTGGCTGCTCTTCAGAGGACCTGGGTTCAATTCCCAGCACCCACATTGTGGTTCACAACCATCTATAACTCCACTTCCAGGGGACCTGATGCCCCTCTCCTGAAAGACCTCCATGGGCACATACACATGCTCAGGTCCACACATCAAAGAAATCTTAAAAGGAGGAGGAGGAACAACAGCAGCCAGGTGGTGGTGGCACACACCTTTAAACCCAGCACTCAGGAGCAAGAGGCAGAGGCAGATGGAACTCTGTGAGTTCCAGGCCAGCCTGGTCCACAGAGTGAGTTCCAGGACAGGTTCCAAAGCCACAGAGAAACCCTATTGCAGAAAAAAATGAAAAGTGGGCTGAGAAAACCATGGGAAGCAAGCCAGTAAGCAGCTCCCTCCATGGCCTCTGCATCAGCTTCTGCCTCCAGGTTCCTGCCCTGTGTGAGTTCCTTCCTGACTTCCTCCAGTGATGAACAGCAATGCTGAAGGGCAAGCCTAATAAACCCTTTCCTCCCCTAGCCTGCCTGTTGGTCATAGTGTTTCATCATAGCAATAGAAATCTTAACTAAGACAAATTGGTACCAGCATTGTGGGGTATTGCTGGGACACACCTGTTTTGGGGAGAACTGTGGAAGGATTTTGGAACTTTGTGCTAGAAAAGCCATTGAGTGTTGGGGCCTCAATGAGATGCTATGTTGGAGCTTGGAAGATAACAATATTGAGAGAGATGCAGTTTAAAGACAAAAGAGCCATCTGTTACTTTGAATTAAGATCCTGCGGTTCAGGATAGCTGGGATAATCAGCTGTGATTAACAAGATACCAGAACTACTAAGGCAAAATTTTGCTTTGCTAGGGTACTTAATGCTGGTTGGCTGGAGCTAAGAAATTAGCGGTGATTAATAAGAGACCAGCATCGCTGAGGTGAAATCTTCTGGAAAGCGTTTCCTGAGAACCCAGAGAAGCTGTGTTCCAGAGGCCAAGGTTGTATTTCATGCTGGCAGCTAGACTTGGTCATGTGTAAGAGTCACCTGGGTGGTGCTGATTTTGAAGGCATGAAGGGGCCATGGAGAGCCGCTGAGGCGTGGCACTGTGAGAGGCCAGGAGGGGCCATTGGTGAAGGCACAGCCTCAGGGGCAGTTGAAGGCCCAGGACTGAAAATAATGCAAAGTAGTTGAGCCTTGGCACCATGCAGAGACCCTATGAGAGGCTGTTGGTGAAAGTGCAGCCCAGTTGCAGCAGAGACCCCCGCATTTTGGAGATGCCATTACCGTGGGATATCCATCGTAAACAGAAGCAGCAATGGAGAGGATGATGTTGGGAACTAGAAGGCAATGTGTGTGTACTGTAGAGGACAGAGCCGGAGAAGAGATCCAAGTGCTTGGAGGGAGCCTGGAAGAAGATGGTGAGTGGATCCAGACACCGGGCAGTTGGCAATGCTTTGCTGTGGCTGTGGGTCGGGGGTTAAAATGGGCCTTAATTTGTATGTGGGTTGGTAGAGCTGTGGTTTTTAAAGTGGTCTGGGAGTGGGTTTGTAATGCAGGAGAAGGGAGGGAGAGGTTCTTGAGAGACAATCTCACTTGGCATGGTAAAGCTAAGGAGGATACACACATCCAAGAGTTTGTGGGTTATCTTTGTCACCCAGTTCTCCCTCCTCCAACTATAGTCAAGAGATGGTACCCACTGAGATGGGAGGGACAAGTGCTGGCCATCTTCTCCTGCCCTGCCCATCCACGTTGACCATGTGAGTATTCCTGCCTTGAAATGGCATTCCTTCCCTCTCTATTGCTAGAAGAGACCAGCCAGAGAAGGGAAGAACACTGAGGTCCACAAGTCACACAAAAGGAGTAAGAGTTGATGTCACTTACACTTATCAGTAAATTGTGGGAAATTGGCTTCCACTACTCTCTGGTTGAGGGGCTGGGTCTGACGGTAGATATTATGAAGGGTCTCATTGTTCTTATTCTTAATAGTATTCTCCAGCTTCAATACCTGCAGGCAACACCAAGTGACTTATGATGGGGAAAGCTCTGGGAAATGTAAGAGCACTGGGTTAGTGGTTGGATAGATGCTCCCATGTGTATGATGCTGGCAGAGCCAGACAACCTCGAGTGCAGCGGTCCTGAGTGGTCAGCCAGCCTTTACTCTGGCTCTTACCCATCCATCCGTTCATCTTCCCAGGTGTCTCGTGCCTTGTCTTCTTATATAAGTACTTGCTGAACAGAACAAAGGCAATAGGTAGTAGAAACATACCAAGTGGTAAGGTAAGCTCAGTGTTTGCTTTTCTAAAAACGTATTCTGTCTACATCCTTGAAGTACTTTTTTTTCTGCATGCAAAAGTTTGGGCTCTTTATTTCCCTCCTAGAGGGAGTTTGAGTTTCCTGCCCTCTCTCTGTGGCTATGGCTAACTCTCTTTATATAAATACATATGTATGTATGTATGTATGTATGTATGTATGTATGTATGAATGATATATTTGCTTGTGTGTGTATTTCTTTATTTATTCATTTATTTTTGTAGCCCTGGCTGTCCTGGAACTCACTCTGTACAGACCAGGCTGGCCTTGAACTCAGGGATCTGCTGCTTCTGCCTCCCAGGTGCTGCCACCCACCCTGGCTGAGTCTCTCCTGGAACCTGAGAGATCTGATAGGTCTCTACCCACCCTCCATCTCAGCTACTTTGCTCATTTCTACCTCTGTTCCTCTTTGGGCCATGGTTGGACTATTTTCCCACCTCTGTCTTTCAATTTACTTATTGTCTCTTGAATTAAATCTAACGTGCTGTTAAACCCATTTAATTGCCAGTTGTGGTTAATACAGTTTCATCCCGAAAAATCCTGCTTGTTTTTTATCTCCAAGTCTGGTTGACCATTTCATACTTTTTGTCCTTTCGCTGTATTTCTTCTGTGTTTAAATCTCTCATGTGTTTATGCACATCAGATATTCTGACATGATTTGACTGGTAATCCCCTGACTTGGTTTTGGGATTTCCCCCACAGTGCTGGGGATCTAACCTAAGACCTTGTTGTGCTGGACAAGTATTCCTGAGCCTTTGGGGGTTTCGTTTGTTTTGTTTAAACAAATATTTGGACTCCAGGCTGGCTTGAACTTACTGTGTGTCCAAGGCTGGCCTAGAGCTCTCTAACCTCTTGCCTTAGCCTTCACTGAGGCAAATGAACCCGTCTGGCCTCCGAGGAGCTAAGCAAGCTTCTTTCTAGTAACATGACTAGTTGAATCCTTCCAGATCGAGATTTAAGTTGGATTCTTCCAGAGATAATTGGCCCATCCTTTGTCACATCTCTGGGGACACTTCCAGCCTACTAATTAACATTTTGTGGGGGAGGGTCCTTACCTAGTGGAAGCCTTTTCTATCTTCTCCTGAAGAAGAGAAATGAAGTTTAAGGGAAAGGAATATTTGTTTCTGAGGGAAAATAATCAAACTAAGAGAATATTAGATTTGCTTGGTAGCTTCAGTATTCAATTCAACAGATGCATAATATGTCCCCAAATGATGTTGTCTATTCACTAAAGTCAAGAACCACTCAGAGCTGGGTGAGGTGGCTCATGCCTGTAATCTAACATTCAGGAAGATGAGGCAGGAGGATTGCCATGACAGGATTTCAGAGTGAGACCCTGTCAGGAGGAGGAGGCAGGGGGGGGAGGAGAAGGGGAGGAGGGAAGGAAGGAAGGAGGGAAGGAAGGAAGGAGGGAAGGAGGGAAGGAAGGAAGGAATGAAGGAAGGAAGGAGGGAGGGAAGAAGGGAGGGAAAGAGGGAAGGAAGGAAGGAGGGAAGGAGGGAAGGAAGGAGCGAAGGAAGGAAGGAGCGAAGGAGGGAGGGAAGGAAGGAAGGAGGGAAGGAAGGAGGGAAGGAAGGAGGGAAGGAGGGAAGGAAGGAAGAGGTTAGGTTGGTAGGTATATAGGCGGGCTGGTTGGTAGGCTCGTAGATATATAGGTAGATAGAATGGTAGGTTAATAGGTATGTTGGTTGGTAAGTAGGTTGGTAGGCTGGTTTCTAGGTAGGTTTGTAGGTTGGTTTATAGGTTGGTAGGTTGGTTTGTAAGTTGGTAGTTTGTTAAGTAGATAGGTAAGTAGGTTGGTATGATGGGAGATGTCATTCTGTAATTATGTTTCTCATACTGGTTAATGAATAAAGCACTGTTGGCCAATAGGAAAGCTGGATAGGTGGGACTAGGAGACAAGGAGGAAAGACAGTAGGAAGGAGGAGTCAACATGGAGAGTCTGGAGAGAGCAGGACGCCAGCCGGCTCTCTGGTAAGACCACATGGAAATACATAGAAATGGGTTAATAATTAAGACAGAGCTAGCCGATAAGAAACTAGTACCTGGCCAACAGCATTATATCAAATACAGAGTCTTGGTGTGTTAATTGGGGCTGGCGTGGTAGTGGGACAAGACCGGCGGCGGGCGGAAAAACCATACTCCTTACATTGGTAGGTATGTAGGTTAGTAGATAAGACAAGTTAGTGGGTAGATAGGTAGGTAGGTAGGAAGGTAGATAGGTTGGTTGTAGGTGTGTAGATTGGTAGGTAAGGCAGGTTGGTAGGTAGATAGGTAAGGTAGGTTGATAAGTAGATAGGTAGATAGGTAGGTTGGTAAGTAGATTGGTGTGTAGGTTGGTAGATAGGTAGGTAAGTTGGTAGATAGAAAGGTAGGTTGGTAGGTAGATTGGTAGGTAGGTTGGTAGATAAGTTGGCTGACTTGTGTGCCTGAACTACTTTTTATTATTATGAAGGACAATGGACAACTAACAGATAGAGCAATTCTGCTCAAACTGAGTACAGGGCTGGAGAGGTGGTCAGTGGTTAAGAGCACTGGCTGCTCTTGCAGAGGACCTGAGTTCTGTTTCCAGCACCCACATAGCAGTGTCTAAGTTCCTGGGACTCTGAAGCCCTCCTGCATGTGCATGGTACACAAAGATGTACTCCAGAGACAGACATACACTTGGGTGAGCACACATACAAACTGAAATTAACTAATTTTTTTAAAGATAGAATATAAAGCTGTGTTTTAACATGACAAGTCCTTGGCCTTGGCCTTGGGTTCATGAGATGCTAGAATGTAAACTGCCCAAGACCTAGGTGAGGACATAGCCAAACCTGCCTGGGAACATTTGTCTTCACAAATGGCTTCACAAATGGCTTTCCCATGGCTCAGACTCCAGACCTTTCACTACATCGAATCCAAGCTCCTTGGATCAGCTGGTGCCTCCAACACCCATGCTCACCTCACTGGCTGAAGGTTACCCACAATTCCACCGGGGTGGGGACGGGGAGTATTTGTCCTGGCTAGAGTCATCTGAAAGGAGGGCACCTCAGTTGAGGAAATGCCTCCATTTCCTCCATTTCCAGCTATGGGGCCTTTTCTTAATTAATGATTGATGGGGGAAGGCCCAACCCATTGTGGGTGGGGCCATCCCTGGGCTGGTGGTTCTAGGTTCTATAGGAAAGCAGGCTGAGCAAGCTATGGGAAGCAAGCCAGTGAGCAGCACTCCTCCATGGCCTCTGCGTCAGCTCCTGCCTCCAGGATCCTGTCCTGCTCCAGTTCCTAACCTGACGTCCTCCAGTGATGGACAGTGCTGTGGAAAGGTAAGCTAAACAAGCCCTCTCCTCCCCAAGTTTCTTTGATCGTGATGTTTCATCACAGCAATAATATCCCTAACTAAGACAGTATCAGATCCTGTCTTAGAAGCGGGTGGGCTTCTGGAAGTTCCTTTACCAGCCAGACAGACAAAGGGAAGCTTTGACAAAGTGGTACAGCTGTTACCTGGGCCTTAGAGAGCTTGACGGAATCTTGAAACACGAACCACTTGACATTCTCTGTGCAGGGAGGGGTGGTGAGTGAGCCTTTGTAGACGAAGTAGTGTCGCGTGTCTCCAGGGAACAAGTCCTGAATGTTAATGTTTGTCAGAGTCGTGATTTCTCCTAAGAGAGAGAAGACAGGGTATGGAGTGGGAAGGAGTGTTCAAGTCCCCCCCTGCCCCTAAGGTACAGAATAAAAGAGCTAGTGACAGAAAACCTGTCGTCCCCCCCCCCCCCCCCGTTTACTGCGCCAGAGATGAGATAGAGCAGAGAACCGGGCCTGGAAGATGTCCAGGAATTCAAAACCAACCAGGTGACTAGGGGAGACTAGAAAAGCTCAGCAGTTAAGAGCATGTCCTGCTCTCCCAGAAGCCCCTAATGCAGCTCCCAGCACCAATGTCAGAAGAATCGCTCTGCCTGGAACTCCAGCTCCAAGGAGCAGAGCTAAAGCTGCTGGACTCTTGGGACACTCAGCTTGTTAGAAGGGCTTGGGATCTGAATCTGGTCCTGGGTGACTGTGGAACACGCACTCTTGACTGCTGAGTCGTCTCTTTCCCCTCTGAACAGAATACTTTTCTTTATTTTTATTATATCTGTACGAGGGGTTTTTGCCTGCACACGTGTATATACCGTGTGCATGCCTGGTGCCCAGCGAGGTCAAAAGAGGGCTTCAGATCCCCTGAAACAGGAGTTAGCAGACAGTTGTGAGCCCCAAGGAGGTGCTGGGAATCAAACCTAGGGCCTCTGCAAGAGCGGCGAGTGCTCTGAACCACTGAGTGCGCCTGAGCACACAAGCACTCATATACGTTAATAAAAAACCTGTATTTAAGGGCTGGAGAAGAACATATATACACAGGTTTCTCAGAGGTATGTTTCCCTCCTAAACCTACAGTGGGAAGGGCTGGGTCAAGGTCCCTCAGCCAAAGAGCTCCAAACCTCCCTCCGAAGAGAGAGCCCAGGCGTGGCTTCCCTTCTCATCCCACACTCAATCCTCTTCTCTGTGGTGGGCGTTCCTTACCTGGATACTGGATGTTGAGCAACTCAGAAATGATGGGGCTGTAGTTGGTGTTTTCCGCATACTCATCGATCTGGGGAGAAGTATAGAGCCCTCAGGACGAGGGATAACTACCCCACCACTGGCTGCTTGGTTCCCTAGCTGGGAAGGCTGAGCAAGAAAACGGGGCAGTCCGGCTCAGCTAGGCTGGGGAGACAAGATGAAGCTCCTTGCTCCAAGTAAGTACCTGGGCTCTGTCCTCAGGGCTTCTGGCAGACAAGATGTCCCAGGCCAAACTGCTCCTGCAGCCCTATTGCTGGAACATTCTTTCATATGAGTGTTGATTTCATTGACGTATTTTAGTAGGTGTCAGAGTTTGCCTGTGTGTCCCTGTGTTCACGTGTGCACACTTGCCATCTGCATGCAGTGCCCACGGAGCCCAGAAGAGGGCACCACACCCATTGAAACTGAGGTCGCAGTAGGTTATGAGAAGTCATGTGGGTACTGGGAACTGAACTCCCACCCTCTGCAAGAGCAACAGTTAATGTTTAGGTTTTTTGAGAATTTGATTGCTATTTAAATTTGTTTTAGATTTATTTATTTTAATTTTATGAGTATGGGTGTTTTGCCTGCATGTGTGTCTGTGTACTGTGTGCATGCCTGGTGCCCTCAGAGGCCAAGAGAAGACATTCGATCTCCTGGAACTGGTTGTGAGAGCTGAGACTGGAACCTGGCTCCTCCAGGGCTCTCAATGCCTGAGCCATCTCTCCAGCCCGATCCCTGCCTGCTCCTATTCACCTATCTGAAGTCCATCACGTGGATTTTCTCAGAAATACATCACTGGCGCCTTAGCCTGGCTGCACGGAGGCTTCACATAGCCCAGCACTCGTAGTTTGGGTCTAGTCAACCCTTCTGGAATCCCAGGTCTTCTGAATCATCTCATCACCCAGGGTTCATGACACAGGAGTGAGCAAGGGCTGGAGAAAGGCCCACGCTGCATTGAGGGGCTTCCCTGGGGGTCTGCGATGCACTGAGGGGCTTCCCTGGGGGCCCATGCTGCATTGAGGGGCTTCCCTGGGGGTCCATGCTGCACTGAGGGAGCTTCCCTGGGGGTCCGCGCTGCACTGAGGGGCTTCCCTGGGGGTCCGCGCTGCACTGAGGGGCTTCCCTGGGGGTCCGCGCTGCATTGAGGGAGCTTCCCTGGGGTTCGTGCTGCACTGAGGGGCTTCCCTTGGAAAGCTGAAGGGGGAATTGAGAGAGGTGACAAGAAGATAAAGTCACTCAGACAGCACGCCTCATCTGGACATGAGGGCTTAGCAGCCTGCGTGTAGACACACACCATAGTTCCAGCCCTACCTCCATTAAGACCGCAACCACAGCCAACCCATCGGACTGATTCCTGGCTTCATCATAGCTCCCGTACTTGGAGTTGAAGTGAACAAAGTGAGCCTGTGTGAGGAAAGCAGGTAGGTTGAGGGCGATGTATGCTGACTGCAAACTCTCAAGGGTTCCAGGGGCAAAGGGAAGGAAGATGTTCCAGCTGAGGCCTCAGACGACCCCTCACAAACAGCTGTGACCTCCCTTCTCCTGTGAAGCCTACCAGCCCCAACTGGCAAGACCAGCAACTTCTCCAGGAATGGAAAGAGGAGATTCTGGAAGGTAACAGTTCTGGTCTGCCTTGACCCAACCTCCCTCCTGACAGAGGCTGAAGCCACTATGCCCCCTCAGGCCTCTTGAGGAGAGTGAGCAGTGAACCCCTCCCTCAGGAAGTCAACTGGAAGCCTGAAATCAGCCCAAGGATGGATGCAGGCCAAAGAGGTAGGTGCTCTAAAACTCTTCATGCACGCACACACGCATGCACACACACACACACACACACACACACACACACACACGTACGCATGCACACACATGCAGTTGAAACAGAGGAATGTCAGCCACCATGCAGGGGAGAGACTCCTGCGGTGCTCTGAGTTTCTGGAGAGAGAGCCCATTTATGTTCCCTCACAAATCAGTGGTCAGTAGTAATTTCCCAATGAACTGAAAATAAATTCAACCACGGGGTGATTGAACCACCACAATTCCACCAAAATTGCACAAACTCCTGTCGGCTATTTCAGTAAGAGAGGGAGAGCCAGAGCGCCGGCTCAGTTGGTAAAAGCACTTGTGTGAGCATGAGCGATTGGGCTCAATCCTAGCACCCACAGGGAGGAACTGGGCACAGCTGTGCACGCCTGTACCATCAACGCTGAGGCAGTCACCTCTGAGGCAGTGGCTGCAGATAGGACCCCTGGGGTTCAGTGGCCAGCCAGTCTAGTTAAGAGGTGGGACCCAGACTCGGTGAGAGAGCCTGCCTCATAAACAAAATGAATGTATGATAGAGGAAGACAATGTCAACCCCTATTCTCCCCCCCCCACACACACACACACACTCACATGCATATACACATATACGACACCTGTATAACACAAACATGCAAAGACATATTCAAACAGAAAAGCAACGGGAGCTTGAAAGACAGGGGACCCTGGTGGGGTTATCACATACCTCTATCACACGCCTGATCCCATCGATGGTGTGCTCAGAGCCGCTGAGCTCAAAGAAGCCGCCGCCCCAGTGCAAGTGCATCTGTATTGCCCTGAACACGGTGCCCTCAGAGTCTGTTATCTGCATGGTGGGAGGCAGGGCTATCTGCACTGCAGGGGGCAGCACAGCACAGGGAGGCTCAGACTTGCCAATAAGCAGACCCCTGGGTCATCCCCCACCTCACACCCAAGGCAGCCCAAGCTGTTGTTGATGGATTAGACTGCTGTCTCCAAAGGGGAGGAGGACCCCTCTCTGTCAGAACCAAGTCAGGGCAGGACCACAGCCCAGCAGATCTGCCTGCTGGTCCTAGAAAATGGGAAAGCTCAGAAACTATACTGTCCAAAGTACATGCCTATACTCCCAGCCCATGGAGGCTGAGGCAGGAGGATTGCAGGCTGAGGCGTTGCTTCATGGCTCTCCCCATGCAGCCTCTTAGCTAGCCCATAGGAGAACCAACTCTGCTGGGCTCTGAGGTGGCTCCCTACTGGGCTCTAATACTCCTGTTTGTGGACAAGGAAGCTGACTCTGGGATAGAGAAGACTCCGTGTCATGCTGTGACTTGGGCAGAGGCAGAGCTAAGCTAAGAACTCAGTACATAGATCCCCAACTCTAATCTCATATGATGTGGCCTAACTTGTCCTCAACAGACAAGAAACCAAGTTACTCAGCCACCAGGACCACACAAGCTCTCGCTTGTCTTAGAACTTAATTTGACTGGGATTCTAACACTAAAATGTGAGGGTTTCATTGGAGGGAGAGGCCACTCCCCCTCACACCCTACAGACTTACTACAGGGACATTATTTGGGTCAAATGATTGGAGATATTCATCTCACTGGCACAGACCTTCCAAACAGTTTTGTCAGCCAGGCAGTGATGGCCCATACTTTTAATCCCAGCACTCAGGAGGCAGAGGCAGGCAGATCTCTGTGAGCTTGAGGCCAGCCTGGTCTACACAGTGAGTTTCAGGACAGCCAGGGCTACACAGAGAAACCCTGTCTGGGGGGGGGGGTTGACAGTATAGCCTGCCCTCCCCCAGGTTTGCCTAGCATGTGCAAGGCTTTAGGTTTTAACTATTAACCCTAAAAGTCCTAGAAAACATTAATGACAACAAAATTGTTCTGCAAAAGGCACTGGCCAGAGAATGAAAAGGTAAATGAAATGCCGCCAGAAAGGGTTTATAAACTGATCAAAGTCTACTGCAAGACTGAAGCAATGGCTCATAGGTTCAGAGAGCACTGGCTGCTCTTCCAGAGAACCTGGTTCATTCCCAGTTCCAGAGGAGCAGCGCCCTCTCCTGGCCTCAACAGGCACTGTACACAGGTAGTACACATAACACACCCAGGTAAACACTCATACACCAAAAAAAAATTTACAAAAAAATAAAGGACTCTTAAAATTCAAAAATAAAGCTGGGCATGGCTGTGCACACCTTTAATCCCAGCACTCAGGAGGCAGAGGAAGGTGAATCTCTAATTTCCAGCCCAGTCTGGTCTACAGAGAGAATTTCAGGACAGAAAACTGTCTCAAAAAAAAAAAAAAAAAAAAAAAAAAAAAAAAAAAATTCAACCACAAGAAAATGAGTATGTTGATTTTTTGAAAATCAGCAAAACACCTAAACAGATATGGAACCATAAAAGATATATAAGCTGGACAAGTCTGTGGTCCCAACACTCAAGGGGCCCAGGCAGAAGGATCACTTGTGCATAGTTTTAAACCAGACTGTACAACATGGAGAACTCCCTCCCCACATGTTACAGAAACTGATGGCTGGGCTTGAGAGATGCCTCAGTAATTAACAAGCATTGCTCTTGCAGAAGACCCAAATTCAATTCCCAGCATCCATGTGGGGTGGCTCCAGGAGGATCTGAGGCCCCTGGCGTCTAAGGGCACCTGCACAGACCCACACACAGGGATTGAGAGCATTGCCTACTCTTCCAAGGTCCTGAGTTCAAATCCCGGCAAGCACATGGTGGCTCACAACCATCTATAAAGAGATCTGGTGCCCTTTTCTGGCCTGCAGGGATACATGCGGGCAGAACACTGTACACCTAATAAATAGTTTGTAAATAAAAAGAAAATAATGAAGTAAATCTTTTAAAATCGATTATAAATTCATCCCAAAACTAGAACACAGACTTTGCATACACAGAGCCTTCCCAATACCTCAAAAAGATAGGGGCTTATTGGTAGTTTGTGGATCTCAGAAGTCCAGGCCACTTACAGACATGGCTCTGTTCTCCCTCTTACTAGTCACCCGACCCATAACTGGAATTTGGTTTTGTTGTCTCAGTGGGGCAATATGCACCTGTGCAGACAATAAACTGGTCCACCCAGAAACCAGGTATGCTACTGAGCACCAAGAAGGGACGAGAACCAAGCACCTGGGTCTGTGGCACTGGGCCATTAGTGCCGTGGCCTCCAGAGACCTGAAAATGGGCCTCCTTAGCCAAGCTTGGGGGTGCAGGCTAGCCTCAGACTCACAGAGATCCAACTGCCTCTGCCTTCTAAATGCTGGAATTAAAGTGTATGCCACCATGCCTGACAGTGTTATTATTATTGTTATTATTATCACTATCATCATCATTAATTTATTTGGGGCTGGGGCAGTGCCTGCCATGGAGCCTGCATGGAAGTCAGCCGACTTCTGAGAATAGGCTCTTTCGTGCCACAGTGTAGGCCCCGGGACTTGAACACAGGTTTTCAGGTTTCAAAACAGGTGCCTCTGAGGCGCTCACAAGTGTCTGAGATTAGACAGTTGCTGGCTGTCTCTGAAAAGTCCCCAGGGTTTCCAAGAGCTGGGCTCTGGGTCTCTGTACCTGCTGCTCCGGGCACGAGAGCTACAACCTGCTCCCCGCACAGACAGCCAGGCCCACCGGTGCCCCCTTACCTGTGTGGCCATTGTTAGTCATGGAGAACTCCAGATTGTCATCCTCGTAGCCCTTCAGGGTCAGCGGCTTCAAGGACCGGTTGAACCTCACCAGCCTTGCCTGCAGATTGATGGGCGACTGCTTCTGCCCTCCGCAGTCAGGGTAGTCCTTCGGCCAGTCGCTCTCCACTAGCCCAGGCCCTGCAACCAGAGAGTGGGGTGCAGCTCCCAGCTCCCCAGATGGGCCCCCTTCTTAGCAGGCTGGGGTCAGGGTCTTCTGGGGCAGCCTTCTGCAAGCAAGCATGGCTTCCAGAGGGCAGGCCGGGTCAGCTCTAAACTAAGCTGAGGACTTGGCTTGGGGTGTGGAAGGATGCTGTCTTCCAAGTCTTCCTTGCAGATGCTGGCACAAGGCCCTTAGCTGGTGACCACACCCAGGGGTCTGCTCTACAGATAGGCCCTAGGCCTCTCCCTTCCAGTGTTCACAGCTGATGAAAGCCCTGAAGGGGGCCTGGGCCTACCAATAGCCCTGACCTCATTTCCAGAGAACATAGCTTTCCTTCCAAGTCCCGAACTTGAGAGCCCAGATTCCTCTGCTGCTGGAACCTTCCCCAAATGGCAGCTGTTTGCTTGCTCTAGCCCCTTCTTTGGGCCTACAGGAAGGCCGAGACGTCACCTGGGTGACAACATGGATAGAGTCCCTGAGAAGGACCCTGTTAAAAGGGTGCTGCAGGCCTGTAACCCCAGCAACAGGGAGGTGGAGGCAAGAGGATCAAACGTACAAGGTCATCCTCAGCCACAAACCAAGTTCAAAGCCAGCCTAGGCTACATTCGATCCTGCCTTAGAATGCAGCGCAAAGACAACCGGATATATCCCTAGTCCCCGATCTCAGTGGGCTGAAATGAGGGGAGGGTGCTTTGTTTTCTGTTGTTTGGTTTTTTTAGAGGCAGGAGGCTCTTTTGAATCCAGGTGTTAACCTGTTTTATGGGACATCTTACTATGTTGTTCTGACAGGCCTTGAACTTGTGGCAATCCCCCTGTCTCAGTCTTTGGGAGTTTGGGATTACAGTCCTGTGACACTAGGTATAACTGAGCCCAGAGGATTAAGGCCAGCTTGGGCAATGTAATGAGATACTCTCTTTTAAAAAAGAGAGAGAAGGAGGGAAGGAGGAAGGGAGGCGGGAAAGGAGAGAGAGAAGAGAATGGGAAGGGGAGGGGAGGGAGCTGCAAAGTTTACCATTTGGGAGATGGTTAATAATTCTGGGGCAAGAGGAATGATGGCCAATCACTACAGACAGAGGACCACATCGCTGAGGGGTTTGGTTTTGGTTTTCAAGACAGGGTCTCTCTACATAACCCTGGCTACACTTGAACTCACTGTGTTAACCAGGCAGGTCTGGAACTCACAGAGATCCACCTGCCTCTGCTTGCTGAGTGCTGGGATTAGAGGCTTTCATCACCATGCCCAGCTCTGTTCAGTCTTTTGCAGTTGAGGACCCTTCAAGGGTAGCTTTGTGTGAGCATTTGTCTTATTCTAGGTAGGAATGGAGCTGCAGTCAGGCCTTCTTGGTTTACAGAGAACTTGATTCTCTTTCCATACGACCCAATAATGCAAACCAATTTTTAAACAATTCTTTCTTCGAAGCCAAATGCCAAGATCAAGGAAGGGCACACCCTCCTGTGACCAAGTGCTTTGGTCTGGGTCTCATAGGCATCGGGAAGATGCTGGGGAATGCTGTCTCTTCTCCTTCATTGGGGCTGAAAATCTGCTGTTTGTTCATTCAAAGATAGCAAAACGCATGTGAACCCAAAGAGCAGGACCCACGCCCAGCACAGATGGGTTGCCTTGTCACCCTGTCTGGAAGTGCCAGGTGTCTGCTTACCTGAATAGGTCCACTCTTGCTGGGCCTGGATGCTCAGGAAGAAGGAGGCCACCAAGGCCACCGGAACCCTCATGGTGGATGCTGAAGGCCTGAAAGCAGCAGGATCTCTGGGCAGCACCTCTTTTAAAAGCTCAGAAACCGTAAATAACAATTTACCAGGCCCAGCTGGCTGATCCGCCCTTGTGGCACCCACTGAACAACACCTCCCCACAATGGCCCTTCTGACTTGTGCCTTTTGCACGTGTCTGGCCTCCTCCCCGGGCATTACCATAGCCAATTAACCCATGTCTGGTTGTTGAACATCTTTGCAAACCCAGTCCAGGAGACACACAGAGCAGCCATTGTGGACTTTGAGTGATGAGTGATCCGTGGAGATGTGAGGAGCCTCAGGCACCTTCATTTGAAGACAGGGGCTTCCTGGAGGCTGGCATTTCCTCTGCCCTTTCTCCTGGCCGCTAAGGGGAATCACCAGAGTCTGAAGACCTTGCCAGATCCCAGGTGGTATTTCCTGTCTGTCCCAGAGTGGCCAGAAGAATAACCCTAACAAATTAGGATTGCTCCCTCCCCAGCCACCACTGGGGAGATAGTCTGGTATTCCAGCTTTGGGCAAGAAATGGAGGAGCCCAATTGGAGGCAGAGACAGGTTTGTCCTCTACCTAAATCAGTTTGGACCTTGGAGCCTGGCTCTTTAGTGACATCTCTCGCATGCCTTGGGGCCACTGAGGAGGAGGAGGTGGAGGAGATAAGGATAAGTTCTCATGTTTCTCCTGGGATTTGTCCTGACAGTGCACACCCACGCTGAACCAAAGAGTTGTCTAATCCTTGTACATCTGCGTGGCTAGTGCAGGAGAGTCTAGCTGACAGGCCAGCGTTTCCCATGTCCTTTCAGGGAGGCAGAGGCACAGGGCAGGTGGGGCTCCAGAGGACATGTGGGTCACATGCAAAGAATTGATCCACTCTGACAGACAGCAGATCCCCTCGTTAGTTTCCCTTATCTCCCTGCTCACTTGTCCCCAGCCTAAGAGATGCTGCGATGTCAAAATGGTAGCGCCAAATGTCTGAGTGGTGCTGGGGCTGCATGCTTGGAAGAGCTCCCTGCTGCCATTTAATCAGGGAACATCCACTGCTGTGAACAACCCACTAACGTACTAGACCCATCATTCTCAACAACTCAACACATCTCAAGGAAACAGTTACTAGTCTGTGCCTCCGTTTCCCCATCTTCCACAGGAGCGCTCGACAGTGCGGCCCCCCCCCCACACACACACCCAGGAATTTAGCAATACGTTTATGTACAGTGCTCAGAGCGGGGCCTGATACATAGCAACTGGTATTATTTTTGAACTTCTCATTTTATGACAAGAAAGTGACTACCATTGTCACCCCACTAGTTAAGGAGGACCAGATGTCCCAAAGTACTTGCTCTTCAGATCCTGGAGTTTCTCCAAATTCAAATCCACTCTGCTCTCCCGGCTAAGCCACTCTTGCCTGCTCTGCCGAGCCCCTGGCCCTGCACAAAGGGCCACCTGGTTGACCCCCTATTTGCCCCATAAGCCCAATCTCTGCTGAAGGGTTTAATAGGTATCATCACAGTTGGGAAACTGAGGCAGGAAGAGTGAGTTTATGACAAGATGACTGCCAAGAGTTTGAGGCCAGCCCGGGCTACAGACTGAAACTCTGTCCATAAAAAAGGGAGGGAGGGTGCTGGCTAGAGAGATGACTCAGCAGTTCCAATAGAATGCTGCTCTCGCTGAAGACCCGAGTTCAGTTCCTAATGTCCACATTAGGCAGATCGCAACCACCGGTCACTCCAGACCCAGGGGATCTGGTACTCTCCCAACCTCTGTGGGCATCGGCATTGTCTCACACACACACACACACACACACACACACACACACACACAGATAATACACGCTATTGAGAGCTGAGGCCACAGCCATAGCAGTCTGGGCGCACCCGATCCCATCTGACCCTGGAGGCTAAGCAGGGTCAGGCCTGGTTAGGACTCAGATGGCAGAGTTGGGGGTGTAACTCAGTTGGTAGTTCTGGCCCAGCGTGCTCAGTTCCTGGCTCAGTTCCTACCATCACATAAACGTGGCATGGAGGCATACGGCTGTACTCAGAAGTTCGAATCACTCTTGTATGTACTGAGTTTGAGATCAACCTGGACAGTATGAGGTACTGTCTCTAAAGAAAAGGAAAGCAGAGTCCCACCAAGTCCAGACAAGACAACACCGTGTTTCAAGCTGACTGGAAAACGCAAACCCAGCCAGGGTCTTACTCTTAATCTCAGGCTGGCCCTGGACTCACATCTGTCTGCCTCTGCCTGCAGAGTGCTGGGATTTAAGGTGTACAGATTTCCCTTGAGAATCCACACTGGAAAGCAGTGTGTAGCTGAGGGTCAGGAGGTGGTTGATCTGGAGTGTGATGGGAGAGGCTGGAGCGGAGGGAACTCAGTAAGCTGGGCCCTGGGAGGACAAGGTTCCACGGGGAGGGAAGGAGGCAGAAGAGAATGTTTCTGGGGCAGGACAGATCCAAGAAGTGACAAAATGCATGACGTTCAGCACTCCAGCAGCTCCCATCCTCATCTCGAATGTGGTTCTGCAACCCTGAAGTTAGCATTCCGGGTTCCTGGAGAGACAGCCGCCTCTGCTTCTATGGCCCCATGCATGCTGTACTTGGCTACAGCGGTTGAGCCACCCACCATCCATCAGGTCTGCTGGGTACTGACCTGTTAAAGGAGCAATTCAATTAATAAATTAATAAAGGGAGTGGAGCAGATCAGCTCCGGAAGCCCAGAAGCCACCTGCTAACAAGGGCACATGAGATATGGGTCTCCTCCCTCATCTGGGTGGCATACTCCCTCCCCATGACTTACTTAGCGCAGAATAAGATAATGCCAATTTTGTTGCCTAGTTTCTGACTCATTGTCTTTTTGACCCTAAAATTTTCCATGCAACAACTTAGAATTTTGTTTGCTTCTTGCGTTTGTGTGACACCTGTGTGTGTGTATGTGTCTGTCTGTCTGTGGTCCCTTCTGCCTTCATCCTAACAGACCCCCACCTCATTGAAGCTTATTTTTATTCTAAACTCCTGTTTTCCACTGCTCATTGCTCACTGACTGAGATGAGCTGACAGGTGTATCCTTTTCGTCTCAATGGAAAGGTAAGTGTGAGAGAGGAGCCCTTGTGTTTCTTGGGTTTATGACTGACTGCCCACAGAGGTGAAGAAAAAGACAGGGAGGCACAGTCATCCCAGGTGAGGACGGAAGCGATGGAAGCGGGAAGCAACAGCAGCCCAAGTAAACAGACTCCACCCGCCAGGGTGGAAGGGAGGTGTGCTCAGCCCACATCCAGCCATGCAGGGAAGGTGAGCACAGGTGAACACGGGTGAGCACGGGTGAGCACGGGTGAGCCCGGGTGAGCAAGGGTGAACACGGGTGAGCACGGGTGAACAGGGGTGAGCACGGGTGAGCAAGGGCGAGCACGGGTGAGCAAGGGCGAGCACGGGTGAGCACGGGCGAGCACGGGTGAGCAAGGGTAAGCACAGGTGAGCACGGGTGAGCAAGGGCGAGCACGGGTGAGCACAGGTGAGCACGGGCGAGCACGGGTGAGCAAGGGCGAGCACGGGTGAGCACGGCTGAGCACGGCTGAGCACGGGTAAGCACGGGTGAGCAGGGGTGAGCACGGGTGAGCAGGGGTGAGCAAGGGTGAACACGGGTGAGCACGGGTGAGCACAGGTGAGCAAGGGCGAGCTGGTAGATGGCCCAGTGAACCACTGCTTGGGTTCACACAGCACCGACATTGAAGAGTAGTTCCGGCTGCATAAGAATGTGCCTCTTGTGGCTGTGCCCAACACAGCGAGGCTATTATCTGTTTCACACAGGGCTGTGAGCGCACAGGAGCCATGAAAGCTGAGCCACACTGCACAGTGAGTCCTCTGCACCAAGATGTTGAACCCACCTCAACTGAAGCCCAGTTGCTTCCTGGACTCACTCTGTGGCCTTGGCTGCCCTCAGACTTGCTATGGTAGACCAACCATGCCAGCCTCAAACTCAGAAGCCCACCCACCTCTGCCTCTCAAGAGCTGCGATTAAAGTCGTGGGCTGCCACACCTGGTGAAGCCTGCTTTCTTAACCCTCTTGACAGGAACATTTTTGAGCTTTTCCTGAGCTGGAGGTATAGCTCAGTGGTAGTGAATTTACTGGATTTATCTGATTGGATACCTAGCACCCAAGAGAAAAATTAACCATCTTCTTTTTAAGATAGGGTCTCATGCACCCAAGGCTGGCCTCAAACTCAGTATGTAGCCAAGGATAACCCTGAACTTCTGATCTTTTTGTCTCCCAAGTGCTGATTCTAAGAGCAACTGTGTCTCCATGCTAATTCATGTAGTGCTGGGGATTGAACCCAAGGCATGCTGGGTAAGACCTCTACCAACTGAGCTACATCCCCCAGGTCCAGTATACTTACTTCCCTTCCTCCCTTCTTCCTTCTCTCCTTCCTCCTCTCCGTCCTTCCTTCCTTCCTCTCTCCCTCTTTCCTCCCTCCTTCCCTCCCTCCCTCTCATTTGGAAACAGGGTCATACTATTCAGACCACTGGTCTCTATAAGCAGGCACAGATCCACACTTCTTCCTGGCATGGTAGCACACACCGGCATCCAGCTATCAGGTGATGGAGGCAAGGGATCAGCCTGGTCTATGTGGTGAGTTCCAGGACAGCCTGAGCTATGCAGTGAGACCCTAACTCAAGAAAACGGAAAAGAACAGGGCTGTGAAGGCTCCGGGTATAAGAGCACTTACTGAATAAATATGGGAGCATGAGCTTCGATCTCCAGTACCCATAGTACCCATAAAAAAACTGCAAAGCCATATGCACCCCCCAGAGATGGGGAGGGGGTGTTACTGGGGTTTGCTGGCTGCCAGCCCAGCTCCAAGGTCTGATGGGGGAGGTCCTTCTGCATGCTGTGAACATATGTTTCTCTTATTCGTTGATGAATAAAGCTGTTTCGGCCAATGGGCAGGCAGCACATAGCCAGGCAGGAAGGATGGGTGGGTCTACCAGACTAAGAG